TCTATGCTATTATTGAACCTATATTCTATGGGGAAAGACACAAACAATAACAAATAACAAGGAAGTTTGCAATTTTAAATAGTATGAGAGTGGTACGCTTTACTGAGAAGGTGCACTTTCAACAGGGAGTTGAACGTGAACAGTTAGCCGTGCAGCTTTCTGCAAGAACATACAGCAAATAGAAGGATACCAAGAGTAAACTGGTCAGGCATATTTAAGGAATGGTATGAGGACAAGTGGGTTGGAGCTGAGAAACTGAGGGGGGCCCTAGTCCATGCTGTCAGAGACAAAATGAGAGAATAAAGTGGGGCTAGGCTATATGGACCATTGTAAGGACGTTAGCTTTTACTCTGAGTAAAATGGGGAAGCAGTACAGGGCTTTGATTAGAAGATGAATGTAATCTGAGTGAGGTTTTTAAGTGACTTCTCTTCTGTACTGAGAATAGACTATATGGTGACAAGGTTTGAACCAGGAAAGCAAGAGTACAAAACTGCTTACTGAATTGATGCAGTCTTCATCTCTCCGGTATTCTAGACTAGTATATTAAATGCCCATTGAACATACTTCAGTACAACACAGATATCTAAAGTTCATCATGTTCCAAACTAAATCCATCTGCTCTTCCCAGCTCCCTGTTCCAAAGTTGCCTCCTCCTCCCAAAACCTTGCCTTGGCAAAGACCCAGCCACTCAAAGAAGAACCCCACTTGACTCTTCATATATTCCTTGCCCGTCAGTCAAATTGAAGATTAAAAAAGCCTTTAAGTTCTCTTTAGTAAGGTATATCAGTTACTTTAATTTCATCCACTGCTTAATTTGTTAGTCCTATCTTTCTGCTACCCCTCAACACTCAATATTAAAATTCAAGCAGTTCCTTGAGAGAAATGCAGGATACAGTGAATCTGTCCTGAGTTTGTGAGTGCACTGTTTAATCCACTTCCTTGCCTGGGCATGGGCCTATACATCTTCAGTGACTGATAGAAAGGCTTTGTGTGATACTGTAGTCCAGCCAGACAGATTTGGGCTGAATCTCAGTTCTATAATTTATTAGTCACATGACTTCAGACAAGCCACTTAATAACACTAAGCCTCATTTTCTTTATTTTAAAAAAAGCAAAAACATAACCATCTGCCAGTGTTGTTTTTAGTGTTAGAGATATTTCCAAAGCCCCTTTTAGGCAGTCCTCAATAAATAATACTTCTACTCCCTCTAGACCACATTCCTCAAGAAGACAGAGAAAGAGACTTCACTAAAGTTCATAGTTTACATTAAGGCTCACTCTTTGTGTTTTACAGCTCTGTGGGCTTTGTCAAATGCATAATATCATTCATCTGCCAAAACTACTCATACAGAGTGGTTTCACTGCCCTAAAAATCCCGTGTTTCACTGTCATCTCCTGACAACCACCTGACAATTACACTGTCTATTGTGTTGCCTTTTCCAGAATGCCATATGGTTAGAATCATACAGTATGTAGCCTTTCTTTCCCCCCTAAAGCGATGGGGTCTTGTTCTGCTATCCAGGCTGGAGTTCAGTGGCACAGTCATAGCTTACTGCAGCCTCGAATCCCTGAGCTCAAGGGATCCTCTCGCCTCAGCCGGGACTACCGGTGTGTGCCACCACAGCTGCCTAATTTAAGTTTTTTATTTTATTTTTTAAATTTTTTGTAGAGACAGGGTCTTGCTGTGTTTCCCAGGCTGGTCTCGAACTTCTGGCTTCAAGAAATCCTTCTGCCTTGGCTTCCCAGAGTGCTGGGTTTACAGGTGTGAGCCACTTACGCCCAGCCCAGTATGTAGCCTTTTCAGACTGGTTTCTTTCTCTTAGAAGTTGAATGGGTAATTTTAATGGAATCAGTGTCTAGATTCTCCACTTCTGCATAAATTCTTTATTAATATTGATCTGCCTGAGAATAGTGCTTTATTCACAACACTCTTTCTCTTACCTTACGAAAGAAAAGCACACCCTTATCCATCCCAAATGTTATTATGGTGCATTATCCTGGAGTCATAGAAAATTTAACATTAAAAATTCAACTAATGCATTAAATGTGTATTGCAGAGAAGTATGACAGGGTGGCCGGGTGCAGTGGCTGACGCCTGTAATCCCAGCACTTTGGGAAGCTGAGGTGGGCAGATTACCTAGGTCAGGAGTTTGAGACCAGCCTGGCCAACATGGCAAAACCCCATCTCCACTAAAAATACAAAAATTAGCCAGGTATGGTGGCACATGCCTGTAGTCCTAGGTACTTGGGAGGCCTAGGCAGGAGAATTGCCTGAATCCAGGAGGCGGAGGTTGTAGTGAGTCAAATTAGTGCCACTGCACTCCAACCCGGGTAACAGAGCAAGACTCCACCTCAAAAAAAAAGTATGACAGGGTGAACAACTGAGGACTTAATTATAAAAATACGTAAAAATTCTCTGAGGCCGCAAGATGGAAATAAAGGTCAAGAAAATAAATTGCCATGTAAATTTCAGCTGCCAAAAGAATCATCTTTGTGTGTTATTTGAATAGTGGTTATATTAAATTATTGTAGATTTAGATGCTATTGAGTATATTTAAAAGAGCTGATGTGTTTTTTTAAAAATGCCAATATTTCCAATAGGGTAGAAATTAAATTCTTTGCAAGTACATATTTTACCACAGGTGGAAATTTGTAAATGTCAATTTGGTAATGTGTAAATGGTTACATAATTTTACATAATTTTTCAAAATTCTTTTAAGAGTCTGTGAATAAAGGCAATTAAAGCCTGGTAGCCTATCCTACTCTATAAAACCCAAGTTTGTCGACCTGGCTTATAAAATCCCTCATCACCTTACTCCTTCTAATTGGTTTTGTTTTGCTTTTAACTACTTACTGTCTCCAGCAAGAAAGATCTATTTCAAGTTCTAAGTATGTGTTGTGCTCTTTCCTGCCTTTGTCTTGATTGTGTCATTCTTCCTTTTTTGCCTCACTACCTTCTGCCCATTCTTTAGGATCCAGAAGTCTGGAGTGAGGAATTACCTCTTCCACCCCCACTTCATGTTGGCTGAGATGCTCATTTTCCCTTCTCCCATAGTTGCCTCCTCTAGTCTTTGTTGCTACATTGTTTTACATTTAACTTCTCTTTTGTTTTTCTGGAATTAGACCTGGAAGGTCTTTTGAGAGTAGGAACTATGTTTTATCTTTGCCTGTTTAGCACCTAGTTATATACATCTCTTGACAATAAGTTAATCTATTATATAAATATTAATTTTTGCAATAAGCAAGGAAAGGTGGATTTCAAATAGTTGGAAAGTTAATTCTTATGTGCAACTTTATTTATTTTTTTTTGGTCAGTTACACTGTAAAAAGCTATTTTTGTTCTATGCTGATTATTTTTCTGGCTATAATATTTGCATTTACTGGTAAGATTTTAGTAAGCTTTCACATGAAGATGAGCCTAAGGATTATTTTGAGAACCACCGTTCTAATAGAAGGAACACATTACTGTAAGTAATCAGGCAAGGTTTCTAGTTTTGGCTCTGTCACAGAATTGCCATGTTGGCACTGTCACAGAGTTGCCATGTTGGCACTGTCACAGAGTTGCCATGTGACCCTGGGCAAAGTAACCAGCCTGGGGGTTGATTTTCTTATCTGTAAGATGAGTAAGTGACCAGAGTCTCCCAAAAGTTTCCTTTACCTTTGATTTAATCAAGAGAAAATTTTAGTAAAATTTGCTTTTAGTAAAGCAAACACATGATTATCTTTGATAAGCAATAAAAAATATGGGCTCATTTATTTTCTACTCATTCATACTGTGGACCTTATAGGTGATATATGGAGATACTGTGTACCTTGTTTATGTCACCTACAAACCATATACTCTAGTGTCATGACTTGGATTCTATCCTTAATCTAAAAATTAAATTTTCAACTTGTCATAATTATAAATATAGAAGTTTATATTTAAACTGTAAATATTCTGTTGAGTTACAATTTTAGGTTATATTTTGGCATCTTTCACTAAATATATGTTGTATCTGATTAATATTATACTTTGTAGGGTACATGTACATAACGTGCAGGTTTCTTACATATGTATACTTGTGCCATGTTGGTGTGCTGCACCCATCAACTCGTCATTTACATCAGGTATAACTCCCAATGCAATCCCTCCCCCCTACCCCCTCCCCATGATAGGCCCCGGTGTGTGATGTTCCCCTTCCTGAGTCCAAGTGATCTCATTGTTCAGTTCCCACCTATGAGTGAGAACATGCGGTGTTTGGTTTTCTGTTCTTGTGATAGTTTGCTAAGAATGATGGTTTCCAGTTGCATCCATGTCCCTACAAAGGACATTTCTATCATTCTCCAAATGAACTTACATTGACATATTTTTGTGACCAATTACTTAGTCACTGCAGCCTTTCTTTTTGAGAAGCAATATTAAAAAAATTACAAAACTGCTTTCCTGTGTCATTTGGATTCATAATATGTCATAATTAAGTTTTATAAAGCTTGATTGACTGACATTTAGATATGACTTTTATAAAGGGTTTGAGAGTATGTTGTTTGGCTGAAACAAAGGCAGTATTTCCTTTCTTGTCTTTGACTCCACCTAGCCCCACTTTTCTCCACCTGCCTGAGGAAGGCTGTATTTCTTCAGACAAACTTCATGATTGCCCTTCTGTGCCTGATAGGGGCCTCAGGAAAGGCCCATAGCATCTGTAAAGCTGGCAGCAGAATGGTATTTCCAGGCAAGCACAGGGTTGCTGGGTAGTGAGCCAATCCACAGCTTTGTCTGAGCAGCTGAGAACTTTGCCGGAGTATTACCACGGTGTTCAGTAACACAGACCTGTGCCATGAGCAAGTAAAGCACTGAGCAAGTGTCAGGGTCAATATTTATAGACCACTACATAGCTGCCTTGCAGAGAGAGAAAACGGGAGAGTAACATGCACACAGAGGGCAAGGAAAGAAAGACTGCAGTGGAGGGAATGTTAATTTCCAATTCTTTTCTGAAAATATATTCTTTTTGACTGTCAGGTTCAGACTTCTGCTGATTCATAACCATTTGGCGCTGAGCTATGACAAGAGAGGAAACAAAAAGTTAAACAAGCAAGCCTGCCATAAGTGAGAAGGTAAGTAATTAGCCAGTTCGGTCTCGCTGTTACTCGTAAACTCTGTCTCCCTGTTGGCTGCACTGCATCAGTAAGCAAAGGGCTGTGTGGCATGTCAAAGCTAATGAGGAGGGCTGCCTGCTGGGTAAGAATGTTCTTGGTGGCAGAGCCGTTTTGTGTACTGCTGTTGAGAATGCCGGGTACATTCACAAGACGTTTCCTGCGTGTGGTAGGAATAGCTCTCAAGCACCAATTTCATACTGTGTCCTATCAGTAAGTTTCTGTCTCTTCATTCTATCAAACTCGAGGTCTTCCAGTTGGTAAATTCCTATTTACTTTTATGTCGGTATTAAAACATTAGTGTCAGTTAAGTTTATTGTAGTGAGTGGTCTACACATGGATTGTAAGAGAAACATTCAGATGAACGTATGAAGGTGTAGTAGTCAGTGTCAAAATGTGGAAGCTGGGAATTTGGGTAACATGAGGTATTTTTTTTAAAAAAAGCCAGCCTCCATTTTCCAGTGCACTGAAGTGAAATAGTACCTTTGGGATTAGAGAGAACCTGGGGCGGTGAGAAGTGAGAACAGTCTTCCTAATTCATGGTGCCAAAGGCAAGCACTGAGGTAGAAGTTCTCTGTCCAGGTCACTTGCTATTGGGTTCTAAAAACTGCGACTCCATACTCAACCTCAAACTAAAATTAACATTTCCTCCTATGCATTAATAGTTCGTTTTTTCCTGTCATCACATGTAGCACTTTAAATATATTTCTGTGTATGTTCACGGTGCTGTAGCGTGTTCATCTTCATTGTGGTTTTTCATATCCAGATTATCATTAAAAGCACTGGCACTGAAGGAGACAAAAAATTGTTTTCTATGTATTTTCTGGTTTAGAATGCTCATGAAATATACATACTTGTATGTTTATGTCTACTACACATGGACTAGAAAGTAAATTATGTTGTTTCACTAGAACTGTGGCTTTAACTAGAGGAAATTTACTGACATAATGAAAATTTCCTTGATCGCATTTCAGATTGTAGAACTATCAGCATTAGCATGATATTTAGAACCGTTAAGTTAGGTTATAGATGGTGATTATAGGTCCAAAGGGTTTTCTGTACTACATATTTAAGTTAAAAACAAAAAATGAGATTGATGCTGCTGTAGAGCTGAAACTGCACAGCAATAGAGATATGAGGAAAAGCTAATACTCTGGCTCAGATTTTGTGTTAGGACTAATATACAGAAATCAGCTCATTCTAAAATAGGATAAGCCAGATCTAAAACAACAGGTAGAATATGTTTAAATCAAAGTAAGAATTTTAAAATGAGACCAATTGTTGTGCAGTATCGCTTTTGTTGAATGCATATATAACTTTTCAAATGATGCAAATGTTTCAAAATTAATTTTATTACTTCAGAAATACTTTAAGGCTAATGTAATTGATATCTTAAACGGTATTTTGACATTCATTTAATGCTCGTTTTATCATCTGAATCTTTGTACTTCTTCACATTCTGCCTACCGTTTCCATTTTATTAGTGGGTTTGATTTAGATTTTTGACAATATCTTTATTTTGAAAATACAACCATGATTGATCTAGAATGGGCATTTCCCAGTTATAGAATCTAACTGGCTAAGTTCATCTATCAGTTTTTATTTGCTCTTCCCTTTAAGTAATATCTCATGATCAAGATTGTAATTTCAGATTTTTATTCAGTGTCTTTTAATTTTTGCTTTATATTTTGCATTTAAATAAATACTGGCATGATAATTGCTTTCTTACCCCTCTTTATTGGTTTTGTTTTTATTCCTTCTGGTGTCTTGTTTCCGAAGTACCTTGTTGAAATTTGGGCAGAAAACAAGGCAAGCAAATAAAGAACTACAATAAAAAGAAACTAAAGAAAGTTTTCCTTTCAATCAAGAAGAAATACGACATTGTGACACTGGTTAATAATGTCTACATTAGGATGTATTTTGGTTGAAGACTGGTTGAGTGTTTTAAAACTCGAAATGCCTTGTCAGTATTTTTGGCTCTGTTGTCCATCCTGACTTTGGTTATCATATTTACAAATAATATTTTATATGCAAGCATCTTATACAAAATGAAAATGGCACCTTTTGTATTATGTATTAAGTATCTATTGAAGCAATGTGAATGAATTTAGCTTGAAATATTAATATTAGCCTCCTCATGGATCTCACTGCTCTAGAGTCATATTTGCTCTGCTAGTAGTCCATCTGCTACACTACTCTTTTTTTTTTTTTTTTTTTGAGATAGGGTTTCAATCTTGTTGCCCAGGCTGGAGGGCAATGGCAAGATCTCAGCTCACTGCAACCTCTGTCTCCTGGGTTCAAGCAATTCTCCTGTCTCAGCCTCCTAAGTAGCTGGGATTACAGACATGCACCACCACTCCAGCTAATTTTGTATTTTTAGTAAAGGCGGGGTTTCTCCATGTTGGTCAGGCTGGTCTCAAACTCCTGACCTCAGGTGATCCATCCACCCCGGCCTCCCAAAGTGCTGGGATTACAGGTGTGAGCCATGGCGCCCGGCCTCCTGTACTACTCTTAGGGGGTCAATCTTCCACTCTGATGAACCCATTGCTTTTAATCTAAAACCATCCCATCTCTGTCTTTCTACTGCTTATAGATAAAGACCAGGCTTTACTATGAGTCTCTTGTTCATATACCATCTACTTTTGTTCTATGTCAATCTTCTGCCATTCCTTCTGGGCTGTTGTGTGTATCTCTCTTGCCTATCCATGAGAATATTCCCCTTTCTGTTTTATTTGCTGGCAGTATTCAACATCTTCTATTTCTCAAAACAATCCACATTGCATTGCTTTTTTCTTGTATCATTTATGCTGTTCTATCTTGAAAACCCTTTTCCCAATCTTTGCCTTCTAGCCTCACTGGAGAAAGCCCTGCTGGTCTATTCTTAGACTCTATGACTTGGCCTCCTGTATAAATCTCCATCCCGGTACTTTGGAAAGCTTGATAATATAGTGTTATATGTTTTTGTTTCTGCCTGAGACTGTAATTTATTTATGGCTAGATTTTTAAATTTAATTTTTTATGCTTCCCCAAGACCTAGCATATAACAAGTGTCCCAGAATTTGAAGTAAACAAAAACTTTATTATTTTAAATATAATTTTCTTTATACCCCTTTCACTTTAAAATATTTTACAATTTTGATTAATTAGATAGAAGGAAAACCTCTCAAGTAGATGATACATACTTTGGGGATATTAATAATAATCTAAAAAGTTATTTTGTTTCTTTTTCTAGGACCAATCACAGTATAGTGTGTGTGTGTGTGTGTATCCATGCAAAGAGATACTTGCTGAACTCATAAGCTTATTTGAGTAACAAAAGTCAAAATGATGTTGGTTAGCAAATACAAATTCAGGATACATATTCCAAAAATGCTGTTTATGTAATGAATTTGGTGAAGTCTGTCAAAAATATCAGCTAGTTGCTGTGGCCATGTTACCTTAATTTACATGGGTAAATTAAGTGATGCCCTAGCAAACTAAAGACAGTGTCATGCCTTCCAAAAGACCCAGAGAGAGCTTCAGGAGAGAATAGGTCCATCCTCACGTAGCCGAGAGAATTGCAGAGTGAAATTGCTCCCAATATTACTAGTAATCCCTCAGATTTCATTTACTGGAGCGGAGATAGTTCGGGTTTTAATGAAATAATAGAAAATCATGGTCTAAAAATTCTAAAACCTGAAAGGTGATAATTCCGTTTCAGGCGGAAGAAGAATTTGCTCCTCAAAATAGAAACGCTGAAAGAGAAGGAAGTTGACATTTAAAAAAAGTAGTTTAGCTCTGATATTCAATAAAAATAAAATTTATTTTGCCTTTAATTATATTTTATTTGCCCATCATACATAAAAGTTCTTACATTATATATGAAATATTTTATATACCAGGAACAAGTGTAAAGCTTCATGACCAATTTGGAGTGACTTACAGTTTTCTTAATTTGATTATTTTTACTTTAGTGTACTCTACCAGCAGTTTCCACTTAAACCTTATAAACATCTTCCAGACATTGAATATAACTCTTCTGTTTGTTTAACCTTGAATTGTATCTGTCTTAGGAATGAAAACAAGATTGGTATTTTCATAGGAAAATTTGGTAATCGTAATTGCTTGGAATGGACCATAATTCAATTTGGAACATTTTTTCAGATGTATTTTGCCCATATAACTATCCTGTGTTAAAAATATGTGGAGTGGGGAGGCTGAGCAGGAGAATTGCTTGAATACAGGAGGCGGAGTTTGCAGCGAGCCCAGATTGCGCCACGGCACTCCAGCCTGGCGACAGAGCGAGGCTCCATATCCAAAAAAAAGAAAAAAAGTGGAGAAAGTGCCTTAGCAAAGAGTCATAGGTATGGATTTTATAGATCTCACTGGCATATCGTAATATAAATATTATATGATTGGGATGGTGGAATTTTCTTTGGTATGGACACAGAAATATACCAAGTTCCTGTTAGCCAGTGAGGAGGGAAACCCAAGCTTACCTCAGTATGGAAACATATAACTATAACAAACATAAGCAAAAACACCACCACCAGTACCGAGAAAAGCTCAAAGAACTTCGTGGTTGGAATGAGGCATAAAGGATTTTACCAGAACAATCAAGTCTTATTTTATCATTGGTACAAGCTTTATTGCCAACCAAAATTTTTCTGTAACAGTGAAGGGCATGTAATTCATAGAACCCAAGAGGAGAAGAGTGAATTAATTATGGAAGTGGGACTTTAAAGCTTTTCTTCAGTGCTTCCATTTTATCAATGGGCAGTTGTGGCATCCACAGGTAACATAACCTGCCAAACATCAGCTTTTCAAGTAGCTAGTTAAGATTCGGATAAAAATTAGTGTTAGGTAATTATAAGGCCAGTATGTTATTAATGCAGCTTTTCTTGTCTGAATGTAATTGCTCTGTTTTTGTTCTTCATGCTGCATTTAAAGTTTAATTTGTTGTGTCTCTGTGTCTTGTCCTG